ATGTGTATGTATGTATGTATGTATATATGTATGTATGTATGTATGTGATTATGACAAAGAAAATAATATTTTGCTATTTGTGTAATAATATGGTTTTATTCTTGTCTTTCCAAGCTGAAAGTTCTGTTTTTCCCGGCTTTGATTGTACAGTCGGGTATGTCCTGCTGTCTGATCGCTAAAGTCCGTATGTACTTCTGTATGTTATTAGCTAAGTGGGCTTGCTACAATGATGAATACACACTTACAAAACTGCCTTCAAATCCAGATAAAGAAGTATATCTGGTTATTATAATGGCCCAGAAAGAATAAAAAACTGAACCAGGGAAAGCGTAGACGTTACGAGAAAGCTTGAATAGATTCCATGCACAGTATAGATATGATTTTGAACAAAGAAGACACAAACAATAGACTGCACAATTTATTGCCTGACATTTGTCGCTGTATCTCGTCAGGTGCATATAACAGTAACAATTGAATAAATGAAGCAAATAGCTGAATCCTAGAAACTGAAAATTAAATTCAAGTACATTCTACACTTTCTGTTTCACCAAGGTAACCTTAAAGAAACTACTATTTCTTTCTGCCTACAGAGATCTGGTTTCAACCGGTTGATCGCGGAAGCTTCCGAGTATCTGAGTAATCTACCGTTGACCGAATTGTGCTAGAAAGATTTGTTCCAGCGACACTCTACCAGCTGAATTTGAAACGATTAAACAAACACTGCTTTCTAATGGATACACAGATGGTTTTATTAGGTACCATTGCCAGCCGCCTAAACCATTTACCTTAGAAATGTCGGTGCCAAAAACAAACAAAAAAGTTTATATACATCTAACGTTTCGAGGAGATGACGTCATGCAACGTGTATATGACCGACTCAAAACAGCAGTCGGTCAAACCCTTTACGCAGCCATGCCTGTTATGAGATTTAAAACCACCATGATTCCTATGCCACCTGTAAAAGAACCAGTCTCGACGTACGCCAGATCTAACTGTATATACCAATTTAAATGCACCTGTAACGCTGCATATGTGGGCAGAACTGATCGACGACTGGAGAAACGGGTTGCTGAACATATTCCACTATGGGTGGTAAAAGCAATGCAAAACACTAACACCTCAACGACAAAGAATCAGGTGACTGGTCGACAAAATCCATCATCAGCAATTGCGTGCCATATTCTAAATTCCGGGCACATCATTAACAGGGAGGATGCATTTCGAATTATTTACAACCGTAGATTACTCAGATACGCGGAAGCTTCCGCGATCAACCAGTTGAAACCAGATCTATGTAGGCAGAAAGAAATTGTAGTTTCCTCAAGGTTACCTTGGTGAAACAGATAGTGTAGAATGTACTCGAATTTGTGTTTCAGTTTCTAGGATTCATCTATTTGCTTCGTTTATTCACTTGTTACTGTAGTATGCACCTGACGAGATACAGCGAAATATGCCAGGCAAAAAATTGTGCAGTCTATTGTTTGTGTCTTCTTTGTTCAAATTCACATCGGGGAAACATTGCTTTGATAGATATGATTGCTGATGGTCGAACAGAATGTAAGAGAATACATTATAACGTATATTTTGACAACATGTAAAAAGGGTTGTTGGTTGCTCGAAATGTGTCCAATCATTTGTCCAATTCGCTTCACATCGGTGAAGTCTGTTTGTAGTTTATCCAATGTTACACATTTAAAAAAAACATTTGAATGGGAATTGCTTGTAGTTTTTTTATCATTAGAGTAAACGGTTTTAGCGAATGGGCTAGACTCGCATCCTGAAAGAGAATAGACGAGGAGAAAGATATTCGTGTCGATAGTTGTGGTGATGATGATGATGTCTTGATAGCTGCATGCTTCTCACGTGACTCTGTTACTTGTATAATAAAATATCGTAAAAGAACTATTCCTTTTCTTTACTGTCTGTATTGTGTGCCTCAGCAATGTCACTAACAAAATCAATGATTTTTAAATAGAGCTGTGTTCACTCTATTTTTACATACTCGTGGGTCGCGTAGTGTTCTTTATCTCAAGTTACTATGTTAACTGGTTCTAGCGTCTATTTGATATGTCCCTGTTGACCTTGGATCCATGTATTGTGTGTGTTGTTTCTGTAGCTCGATGTCTCGTTCATTTCTCCTCTCCAGTGTCGGTCTTCAAGGCTCCATGTGTCTGGATCCTCTTTTTCTAGTGTTGAGCTGGCATCTCCACAACTGAATTTTCTTTTGGGGGTCTATGCTACTTGTCCCTTCTCTTCTAAGTCTCGTAGACTCAAGGATTAACCAAGTGGTTTCTTACTTATTATTTATAGTGAGATGCTGGAATGCGTGGTATTTCTTTTATACTTACTTTGACAGCTTCTAGAATGTTCTAGTAGGCTCATCTTGTTTACTGTGTGCATTCTCACCTGGGATTTTATAAATACATCTCGTTTGCGTCAGACTGTCTACACTATAATAAGAATAAACTCCACAGGGGAGCATGTACAGCAGGGGTCTACCAATCATCAGTAGAAGAAATCTCTCGTTGACAAATGTTTCGGCCCACGAGCTCCTAGACATTTTTAGAGAGTGGTCCCACCTGAGTTCATGAAGCTCAGGGTTGGTTTCCCCTGCTGCACGAAATTACCGGATGTTGTTCGGATAGGGACAAGACGAATTAGTGATTTTGCAGAAGGTACCCGAATATACTAATTGGCTTGACAGGTGTCCTGCTATAGCCTTCTAGAACGCCAGTACGATAAGGCTCTTGTTCTTTCATATGGCACGTCAAGGACAGCATGAGATGCTATTTATTTAACTAAGTTATTCATTTGTTTTCATAATATTTATGGACAATATTAATAAAATAGACATAACACCAACATATGTCGATAAACAGGAGGACTTCAATGAGCTGCTCTTTGCCGACGATCAATGCATATTTCACAGTGATAGTAAACAGCTGCAAGACCACATAAACCTACTACACGACAGTTGCCTCAAGCATCATATGAAGATCAATACTGAAAAGACAGAAGTCATGAGCATAAGTAGAGAGCAACAGACCATCGACATAAAGATTCTAGATCACAGCCTAAAACAAGTGCAAGAATTTAAATACTTTGGAAGTATCTTTACATTCAATGGTAAAATAGACAGAGAGATCGAAGCAAGAATCCAACAAGCCAACAATGTCGCATACCAGCTTGCCCCAATTTTAAAACACCCTGCTGTCCCAGCTGAGATAAAAAGACAAATTATAAATACAATCTTTTTACCGACATTAGGTTATCAATGTCAGACTTGGACATTAACAAAAGAACACGAGAGAAGACTAACCACCTGTGAAATGAGATGTTTGAGAATGGCTGCGAATAAAACCAGTAGAGATCGAGTGAGAAACGATGTGATTACAAGAACTATTGGAACCATACCCATTGTTAAATTTATTGAGAAGCAAAGAATGAAATGGTTTGGTCACCTAATGAGAATGGAACCAACGATGCCAGCATCAAAAGCATACAACATGAAAATCGAAACACCAAGAGGCAGGGGAAGACCAAGAAGAAGATGGATTGAAGGAGTCACGGACAACTTGAGACTTCAAAACATCACGGCATATGAAGCGACTGAGCGCGCCCTGGCTCGGTTGCCGATCATCTGATAGACCGCGACGCCTAGCGGCACAAGCAGATATTGACAAAAGAAGAAGATTCATTTGTTAGCACCTCTCAGCACTTAATGGTTATATAAGGGTATGTCGAGATTGCCAAGATCTGTTGACTTCGGTCACTTCAACGAATACGCAGTATTCTACATCCTGAATAACAAGTGATGACGTCTCCATGTTAAAATCTATTTCCTTTTTTTTTTCATGTTTATCTGTTCAGCCTTTCGGATTTTGTGGAGGCATCGATTGAAGGCCTTACTTATTGTGTTCTACTAAGAAACTGGTAATTACCGCACCAGATATCCCATATAACCATGGCTGCGTGGACGAGGTCCAGCAATACGTGGGCCAGGAGTGTCAGGGCCAGGAGTGTCAGGGCCAGGAGTGTCAGGGCCAGGAGTGTCGGGGCCAGGAGTGTCAGGGCCAGGAGTGTCAGGGCCAGGAGTGTCGGGGCCAGGAGTGTCGGGGCCAGTAGTGTCAGGGCCAGGAGTGTCGGGGCCAGAAGTGTCAGGGCCAGGAGTGTCAGGGCCAGGAGTGTCGGGGCCAGGAGTGTCAAGGCCAGGAGTGTCAGAGCCAGGAGTGTCGGGGCCAGGAGTGTCAAGGCCAGGAGTGTCAGAGCCAGGAGTGTCGGGGCCAGGAGTGTCAGGGCCAGGAGTGACAAGGCCAGGAGTGACAGGGCCAGGAGTGGCGGGGCCAGGAGTGAAAAGGCCAGGAGTGACAAGGCCAGGAGTGTCAGGGCCAGGTGTGTTGGGGCTGGAAGTGTCGGGGCCAGGAGTGTCAGGGCCAGGAGTGGCGGGGCCAGGAGTGTCAGGGCCAGGAGTTTCGGGGCCAGGAGTTTCGGGTCCAGGGGTGTCAGGGCCAGGAGTGGTAGGGATAGGGGTGACGGGTATAGGATAAATGTACTGCAATCTGGTAGTAGTCTTCACACATGTCGAAACCACTGATCTGTGTCTACCGGATTAAAGACTCAGTTCAAAACCACATCTAGACGAACTTACTTTTTTTTTTTTAAATCTGACCTCTGCTCAAGGGTTGACACTGCCTACAGTGGTTATAAGGACAGTTTTTGGGAGACAGAAGTGAGCTGACTAAATCCTCTGTCGAAAATTCTGTATATATACAATGCTTCAAAGCTTACCAGGTAAGATAACGAGGAGTAAAGGCGGCCTTTGTAAGGCTTACCAAATCAAATATCGTGAGCCTAATGATTTATGAGAAGTATTAGTCTAGTATCGTTTGTTGGTGCACCACTGCGGTGAAGGAGTCCTTTCCTTTCCTTATAATTTGTCATTTAATGTCAGGAGAGTCCCCGGCTTGAAAATATCCATTCTCTTTTTGCGTCTCCGCCAGTTCTCGCTGGATGCAACGACTGGGACCAGTTAGGAAATTCATGCTATCTCATTAGCCAGGAGTATGTCATTTGGCTTGACGCTTTGGTAGGTACAATGTACTGCTAATATCCCAGTCAATAAGACGCAGTTGAGCGGTATCTAGACCCTTTGCTGTCTTGAGTATAAATGGACAAAGAGGTTGATGCTTAGAAAATTGACTCTGCGAGACAGGAAATGTTCTGTCAGATAAAAAGCTGGCCAATGTGTCTATATCAGTGGTTTTTAAAAGTTTTAAAACCGCGACATTTTAATATAGTTCTTCGTGCTGGGACGACCCCAAAAGATACAAATATATTGGTTATGTACTAGACCGGAGAAGTCCTTAGTAACAAGAAAATAAAATAAAAAGAGAGAGAGAGTTCGTTTTGGTGGGGGAGAGATTAGAATATCTCACCCAGGCAAGAAATCTTCTGTGTAAAGTTTAGATAGCCAAATAACAAATAAAATAAACTAAGGACACTAACTACAAGTCCTAAGCTGAAGAAAACAACTGTAACTATGATTACAACGTTGAACAACATTTTTATTTAACATTACATCAGCGTGGTCAACAAATAACGACAACGTGCTGGAACAAAATCTCAAATATATAGCGATCTACCATCTAACTATCTCTTAGCAAGATTACAAAATGAAAGTCTATTTTAACCGACTGAACGTAAGACCGGCTGGAATCAGACCACGGACGTTACCTGTGGTAGCCATATCCATCGACCAGCCCATTGTGCAAAGAATCGTTAGCTAGGTTAGGCTCCCACAGGTTGGTCCAGAAGTCTAAAGAGGTCGCTCCAAGACTAAACAAAATCTTTTATACCCAGTGAGCCAGATTTTCCCCCTTCTTCCGTCTAACTCTATTAGTTGTTCCGCTGGCCTTTTAGCCATTTTCAAACCAGAACAAATCTAGGATCTTTAATTTGCTGCACTGTAGTCTTCGTCGCTTCCACTCTATTACAGTTACTACATCATAAATTCAATGAATATGTATTTTACGATGGTCCTAGGCGACTGCTGTGAAAGGATCGTTGGAACCGAACAAAATGTCATGACCCGCTTGTTGAGAGCCACTTATCTATATAAATATGGGCCTAGCAATAAGTTAGTGTCTAATGCTCTACTGCCTTGATTACCAGGTCGACCCAATTTTGAGTTCTGGGAAGTAAAGGCGGCGGTTGTCATGCTGACCACATCGCCCACCAAGTGACAATTGGTCTATACGTATATAGACCTAACCCTATATTCCCAGTACGCCTAAAGGTGTTGAACGGGGATCTTTGCTTGACTTTTAATGCTTGACTGACGACCCGAAGATCATCATAAATTTCTTGTGTTGGTTACGATGACCCACATTAGGGGAGAGAAGAAGAAAACAAAGAATAGATACACTTAAAAAAACAAAAAAAAACAAAAAACAAAAAACAATTACTGTCTGTATTTACCCCTTTTGTGGTGTAGGCTGACGGAGGGGGGGGGGGGTGTGGGTGGGTCCCAGAGCCAGAGAATGCGAGGGCGCATGGCTAGTGCTAGTGGTATTGGCTGTGCAGGTTACAGTTTTATTTCCAATCCTGACGGAAAAAGAACACACACACACAATATTCACGATCTTACGGAGAATTCGAAGGTGGGTTTCCTGTAGGAGAGGATAGAGTTCGTAACCATTGGGCCAGCGTTCGTAACCATCGGGCCAGCCGCTCCTCAACAGAGCCCAGCGTTCGTAACCATCGGGCCAGCCGCTCCTTAACAGAGCCCAGCGTTCGTAACCATCGGGCCAGCCGCTCCTCAACAGAGCCCAGCGTTCGTAACCATCGGGCCAGCCGCTCCTCAACAGAGCCCAGCGTTCGTAACCATCGGGCCAGCCGCTCCTCAACAGAGCCCAGCGTTCGTAACCGCCGGGCCAGCCGCTCCTCAACAGCGTAACTGCCCCCTGAAATGCTCAATGTAGCAGGCGACAAATGAAGTCTGACAGCAGTATATACTGTAGTTTATCTGTAAACATCATCTCAGTGTTTCAACGGTACTGTTAACGGCGAACTGAGAGGGAGCTGAAGAAGCTAATATCCTAATCTAAAGGCCACTGTGATGCAGTCTCTAGACCTTTTGCATACCTTCAGGCGTATTGAGCATATTGTGCTAGACCTATAGTTTATAGACCACTGGGTGGGTGTTGGATCAACATCACGCTGGTCGCCTTTGCTTTACAGGACTTTATCTGGCATCCAATTAAGCCGGGATTGACCTGGGAGCCAAGGGGATTTTTAAAACAAAGTTCACCCCTGTCAGTAACTGAACCTACGACATTCTGTCCCACAGACGAACATCTAGTCAATACAGCAGGGCAGCTCCCTGACCGGAGGGCCTTGGGTTTAAATCCTGAGCGAGAAGATATTAATTAAGGTGAAGTCGAGTACCATGAAATGTCATGGAAAGTACACTTGATTAATTGGTCAATAAAACGGTGGGTGAAGCATCACAGGCCTTATCCATCTTAACTTGGAACACTTTGAATGTTGGTCTCCAGCTTCAACTCTCTTGATGTGTGAAAACATTGAATGTTGGTCTCCAGCTTCAACTCTCTTGATGTGTGAAAACGTTGAATGTTGGTCAAAAGTTTCAACTCTTTTGATGTGTGAAAACATGGTATATTGCTCTCCAGTTTCAACTCTCCTGATGTGTAAAAACATTGTATGTTGGTCTCCAGCTTCCACTCTCTTGATGTGTGAACAAATTGTATGTTGGTCTATAGCTTCAACTCTCTTGATGTGTGAACGAATTGTATGTTGGTCTATAGCTTCAACTCTCTTGATGTGTGAACAAATTGTATGTTGGTCTATAGCTTCAACTCTCTTGATGTGTGAACAAATTGTATGTTGGCCTATAGCTTCAACTCTCTTGATGTGCGAAAACATGGTATGTTGATCTCCAGCTTCAACTCTCTTGATGTGTGAAAACAATTGTATGTTGGTCTCCAGCTTCAACTTCCTTGATGTGTTGAATGTGTATTTTCTTTATGTAAAATGATCAATAATAACTGAATAAAATGCACGAATGAAATGTATGAAATAGTGACTTGCGCAGAGAAATAATTACAAGAGAGAAATTGTTCCAATGCCGTCGACCTCAATCTCTCGCCTGTGTCCGTCTGGATCCAGTGGCAGGGCAAGTCGCGACGAGTGCCGATGAAATCAGGTGCAGTGGTGTACTACGGTGTTCTCACTTGTGAAATGATATTTACTACACCATATAATAACCCTTGAAATATTAGTCTATTCTGTGGCCTGCGTATTTCCCGTGTTTGTGGTGAATTACTGGGATAGAACCCTACTTGTCTTCCTGTGCTTTTTACGATCCTCTATGTGTGGTTAATACTCCCGCCAGTTCTGTTTGTTAGCTGCGTATCCTTTTACAGGACGATGCAGAACAAACACCATCAGCCCCTGGCTGTTGTGTGGCTTTTCTAGGCAAATTTACGTCTAGTAGTTAGCCATTGCCTCCTGCACGGTCGGCTTTCATGGTACCACTATCGAAATCAACGCAAGGCGCATCCCCGCATTATTAAGCGTTCTATTGACATAGCCACAGAGCCGACCCCATCAGGTCTATTGAACTAATTATTGCTTTTTTTTTTTAGTCCGCAAACATTAGCAAAATCAATAAGGATTGTAGAGTAATCGATAAACAGGCAGTGAGTTTCTTGACCTCAGATAGTTTTCTTTTTTGAATCAGTTAAAATGCCATGAACTGGGGGGTATGTGTGCGGAAATTGACAGCCAAGAAGAACAGGATTTTATTTCCGGTCAGATGAAAGCCAAGAACGGTCAGTTTTATAGAAAGATGTACATGTGCGTGTAAGTCAAGCATTCTTTTCTCATGTCCCAGACAGGTCAGTTTTTTTAGAAAGATATGTATGTGCGTGTAAGTCAAGCAATCTTTGCTCATGTCCCAGACAGGTAAGTTTTATAGAATGATGTGTATGTGCGTGTAAGTCAAGCAATCTTTGCTCATGTCCCAGACAGGTCAGTTTTATAGAAAGATGTGTATGTGCGTGTAAGTCAAGCATGCTTTGCTCATGTCCCAGACAGGTCAGTTTTATAGAAAGATGTGTATGTGCGTGTAAGTCAAGCAATCTTTGCTCATGTCCCAGACAGGTCAGTTTTATAGAAAGATGTGTATGTGCGTGTAAGTCAAGCATTCTTTGCTCGTGTCCCAGAAAGGGTTAACCTGGAGCACTTTTCTGAGGTGGGAAAGCTGGAGTTTTAAAGATGCAGCTGGAGACAAAGAGAGAACATGTTGGATTGTTTGTTTTCATAGTTTGCAAAATCATTTGTGTCAGACCGACTGAAGATAAAAACAGTTATATGCTGTCAATAAACATAACTACAGACACACAGCATAGACTGTAACAAAAGTTAAAGCTTGTAAATATATGCGTGTTTATTCAACGGATCAAAATCATGATATGCGGGTGTAAGCCATAAGTGCTCCATTTTACTTCTAACTCAAGCACTGGCGAGGATCCTGAAATACTTTGGGGAAGATTTTTAACTGCAAATTTTTCCCTAGCAGCGCTGTTAGGCTGCTCTTTTTCGATTTCAAATTGCAAATATATTATTTACATGCGCAGCAATACACACGGGCGTCCGGTCTTACTAACCAAAGACCACTGGAAAACAAGGTCCACTTGAACAAATGCCAACCTTCACCCGAATTTGAACCCGGTACCTCCAGCACTCTTGGCGGATACTATACCTCGAGACCACCCAGCCCCTAGTGTAAAAATGTATCTATAAGTGTATACATGCATACATACATTGCATGCATACATACATACACACATACATACATTCGTACACACACAAATACACACACACATATATATATCTAATATATATATATATAATATGTCAAATCGAATGACGCAGCCGTGAAGCAAACCTACGCTTTTCAGAACGTCTGGCAAACGGTTTAACTATGTCACCACGAAGATCAACTCTTTCAAACGGTTTAACCATGTCACCACCAAGATCAACTCTTTCAGACGGTTTAACCATGTCACCAGGAAGATCAACTCTGGCAAACTTGTTGCCGAAGGGCCAGTCTGAGTACATTCCCTAGTGGCACGCACTTGATATTGAACGGAAACTCTTTTTGGGATTTCGGTATTTTGGAGAGGAATGACGATGGTCCAGAAGAAGATGATATTACTGTATTTGAATACATAAAAAATTAAATACATAATTGCGTACATGAATAAATGTAGATCTGTATATCTGAACATAACAGAAAACTTTAAAATAAGATCATGTTCAAAAATTAGGTTAAGACCATGTCTTAGTTAATGGCAAAAACGGAAAAGCCTCTTAAAAAAAACAGAAGAACAAAATAGACCCCACCCACCCACCTCAATTCCCCCCCCCCCCCCCTTTTCTCCCCAAACCAACAAATGAAAAAAATGTATACCATGTAATGAGTAACCAGGCTACCTATGGTGAGTTCTTTGATCTAAGAAGAGTTTATGATATATTTAACTTTCCTTCCCAGGATTCCGCCGTGTACCCACTTATTGCTAGGTCGACCTCAATGTCAATGTCATTTTTTTAAATTGCTGTACATTGCATCTAGGGCTAGGCCTATATTTTACAGACCAATCTGTACTCGATAAGTGATGTGGTAAGCTTCACCCTGGCCACCTTTACTTCCTCAGACTCTGCCTGGTACTGATTTCAGCCTGGTTCGACCTGGAGCCAGGGTCATTTATGAAATGTATTTTTTTTTAAAGTCTGGCTTTTATAAAAATTTAAACACAACGACCTTCGGATGGGCAGCCGAGAATCTAGCTATTACACCACAACACCGCAGCTTCTAGTTAAGTCAATACAAACGTGTATATATAGGGAAGCAAAGACGGCCGATATGATTGTTGACCATACAACGTATCAAATTCCGTTTACTGTAAACACGGATGAGTCTAGCCAAAGAAGCAAGAATGGTTCTTTGTATTGTTTGCCTTAAACTCAAAATCTCATTTTTGACTCAGTCGAGGCTGTTTGGCTTGGAGGTTTTAAAACAACTGATTGGCTATGGATTTCAAGCTTTGCTGAAATTAACAAGGGATACACCAGCTGGGGAGAAGGGCAACCAGACAACTGTAAGTACTTCTCGGGCGTTCTGTTGACTTCTTCAGTTTCTTTACTCGAAAACCGCTATTTCGAATCCACATATTAGCTGAATTTAAAATAATTATAATAATATCTTGAGTTTCTTGGCTAAATTAATAATGAGAGTACAAAGAAATGTTAATACTGCACTATGCAAAGAAGGAGCCATCTCATCTTAACAAGAAAACAGGCAGCTGACCACTTTGCAGATTCTTTTTCCGAAGACAACATTAATAATGTCAGCCCAAAGAAACAGGGAGAGGTTCGAGAGAACCATCAAAATACAAGACAAAATTATTAAATTCCCGAGGCACTGATGGCAGCACTTACGTCTAGCGAGTTAGAGTTAGCAATATTAAAGCTGAGAATGGGAAAATCACACGGAATTAATGGAATTACCAACGAAATAATCAAGAACACTGGAACAACCACTGAAACAAAGCTGCTACAGATATATAATCATTGTTGGACCAGTGGCAAAGTTCCCCAGATATGGTGAAACTATGGGGGTGACTGCAGTCAAGCAAATACAATGAATTCCAGAGAAATTTGACTAAAAAACTCAACAAAATGGGAAAGAGGAAAACGTGCACAAAACAACACAACGTAACGTTTCGGCCAGGCAGCCTTTTTCAAACACAAGTGAGGTCAGTTTATCATACCCGGGCAAGTTTCCGGAGGTGTATAGGAGATACATAGATGATGGCGTTGGTATCACCGAAATGTCCATGGTTGAGCTTGACCAATTTATTACTTACATCAACAATTTCAATCCGGCTATCAAATTCACCTCACTGATCTCCACCACTTCAGTTAACTTTCTTGACATCACGATTAGCATCGATTTCCCGTGTCTGAAAACCACAGCCTACTACAAACCCACGGATTCTCACAGTTATCTCCTCTATACGTCTTCTCACCCACTACCGTGTAAAAATTCTATTCCATATTCACAGCTCCTTCGATTGCGCAGGTTGTGCTCTGACGATTCTGACTTCTTTGATAAATCAGTTGAACTTCTTGAATTCTTCCGTGCCCGTTTCTATCCGGAACACATTCTACAAGGGGCTCTAAACAAAGTTTTAGCAATCACCAGGAGAGATGCTTTTCCTACCAAACGTAACTCCACCAATGATGGACCTAAATTGATCTTGACTTTTCACCCTAACAATGTGGTTGCTTCCAAAGTATTCTTTCGTCATTTGGACATCCTCCGCTCTGATCCGGACACCAAGATTATCTTTAGTGAGAAACCTAGATTAGTTTACAGACGAGATCGCAACCTTAAAGACATACTTGTCCGAAGCCGACTCCCACCGATCCATTCAGCACTTCCTCTTGGGACTACTCTGTGCTCACGCAGCACCTGCAAAACATGTCCTTTCGTTGTCCAGACTTCTTCGGTCAGTTTCCCTAATGGTTCTTTTCAAATTAGGGAACCTTTTACTTGCGAATCCCGCAACGTAATTTACGCAATTATCTGCAAACGATACCACAAGGCATACAATGGGGAGACTGGCAGGAAGCTAGCTGATCGTTTCCGGGAACACCTCTCTGATATCGACAAGAAGACACTCAAACCAATCCCTCTTCATTTTAATAGCCCTGACCACAGCGATAAAGATGACATATCAGTCACAGCATTAAAATGCTCTGGCGATCATACTACCCGCCTCGCTTTGGAAAATCGCCTTATCCACAGTCTTGGCGTTCTTAGTCCAAGAGGTATCAATATCCAACATACCTTCATCTAAATAGTTCTAATCTTATAACATTTTAAATGTTAATTATTTTAGTTTATTTCATATTATTACCATATTCTATTTCTTATCAATATCATTTATGTATCATTAACACTTGCATTTCTTTTATTCCCAGTATTGTGACTATATTTTTTAGCCATCGTTTATTTTATTTTATTTCATTTATTCCGCATCACATTTTTTAAACGTCGCTCACGTCACCCCTTAGAGATCTACATACTCTCCATTCCTCGTTTGTGTATTTCACTTGTGTTTGAAAAAGGCTGCCTGGCCGAAACGTTACGTTGTGTTGTTTTGTGCACGTTTTCCTCTTTCCCATTTTGTTGAGCTTTTTAGTCAAATTTCTCTGGAATCCCCCAGATATGGAGAGAAGCAATCACGATACCTCTCCTTAAACCAGGAAAGGACAGTTTCGATGCCTCTAGCTATTGACTGATCAGTCTTACCTGCTGCATCTGTAAAACAACCTTAGACTTCAATGGTACATGGACAGTGAAAACATCTTCATGCCGCAGCAGGCAGGATTTAGACAGTGCTACTCCACAAAAGACCAGACAACTTATCTTTCGCAAGAAATTGAGGATGCCTTCCAGGAAAAAAAAACTGGTGTTAACGTCATGGATAGATTTGAAGAAAGCCTTTGACAAGATCTGGAAAGAATGTCTACTGAAGAAACTGAGAGACTGTAGGGTGAATGGGAATATGTACAAATGTTTGAAAGCACACTTGTGTAACAGAAGATCCCGAGTACAGACAGAAGGACTCAAGGGTAAGAAAATATTGCTGCGCCATGGCGTCCCACAAGGAGGTGTCCTGTCCCCCACACTCTTTCTAGTCTATATCAATGACCTGGTTTCTGAACTACCCCATGGAATTAAAGCCGACATGTATGCAAATGGCGTGGTAGTATAATGTACAAATGAACATGCAACAGTGACCACAAGACTGCTACAAAAAGCCATAGATGCAATGGCTGAATGTGCTGATAAATGGTGTGTCAGCAACAAAATAGGCAAATGCAACACCACCCTCTTTACACTCTCTCCAAAACAAAAATCAGTTGTTGTACACATAAATGAAGTTCCCCTGAGAGAGGATAAGGAGCCCACATACCTCGGAGTAACGTTTGATGATAGGTCAACGTGGGGAAAACACACAAACAAGGCAGCATTGAAAGTCAGAATGAGGGTAGCCATTCTGAGAAAACTAAGTGGAACCGCATGGGGTGCTAGCGGGAAAATACGTAGGAAAGTATACCAAGAAAGTTTTCGACCACACTTTGAATACTGATCAACAGCATGAAGTTCATTATCAAAAACTACACCATAAGAATTTGACAAAGTGCAACATCAAGCACTCAGAGTTAATCAGTACGAAATCAACATCTTTAGCCGTGATGGTGAATATGAGGGTGACCCAAGCACTGAGTGAACGCCCAGACACCAAGATGCTAATGCAAGAAGACAGGTTTCTTAGTATGCCTAGTCACACTATGAATGAAAGATTCCAAAATCTACCTTTGGGACGACTGAATAGAAGCAGTTTTATCCACCAGGCCAAACGGCTCTGCAGATAAACCACTGATCTACCTGTAACTGATAGCCCCCAAGACAGGAGTGAAAGGAGTATTTGACAAGGAAGAACAAAACAGTGGGCAGCGTAAAACAGCCACCCTCAATGCACTTGATGATGAGTAACCGCAGAATCTTTGGGTCTGTGTTTACACAGATGGGTCAGCAGAAAGTGCAGTCAGAAACGGAGGTGCATGAGTGTACATTGAGCATCCTAATAATACCAGGGATACAACAAATACCAACAGGAAAGCACTGTCACAACTATGATGAAGAAGTTCAAGCCATCAAGGTAGCGGTAGCGAAACTACTAAATACTGGACATTTTTTACAACCAGTGGTATTCCTGACAGATACAAAAGCGGTACTTCATTTACTCCAGTCTGGAAAACTACTAAGAATACGGACACTATTATCCGAACTAGGCAACCGTTGTAATTAAGTTATGCAATGCATTACTTCCCACTGTGGAGTTCCCGGAAAGGAAGGAAGGTGCACCTGAAGAACAACCCGACATATCAGTCCCTTATCAACAGAAGAAGAGAATAATCAAATCAATCAAAAAGCCACCAAGACGATTACCATATTATGGACAAACCAGAGCAAGTCATTATCCCTCGCCTTAGAAGAGGGCACAGTCGACTTCGCTGCCACATGTACACACAATTTAAAATTAGCGAATCATTCATGTGTACATGTGGACTAGCACCTGAGAAACAGATCACACCCTCCAAGACTGTCCCAGATTCAACGCTTCCAGGCCAAACTTCTGGCCAAAAGAGACACTTGTGAAAGTCAAACTTAACGGGCCGCTGAGTGAATTACAAAAGACAGTGAAGTTTATACTAGAGAAAACATTGCAGATATAGATATTTTATTTCAAGCGAACGAAAGAAGAAGAAAAAGTTCATAGGCTGAACCATATCTCACTCTGTACCCCAAGTATCATGGGAAACAAAGGCTTCCGGTTTAAGCTGTCCATAACATACACAGAGAATTGATTCATCATCATTGTTTGCCGTTAGATGTCACTCAGGGCTATCATTCGATTCTCCTATTCCACTCTATTACATGCAACTCTCGTGATTTCTGACATGGAGTTCAGCGTAGCATCTTTTAGCCCCTCGTAATAATGTTATTTTTAATGTTTCCATTGAACGTCCTCTTTTTCTCAAACCGTTTGTTTCCTATTTTAGTGCCCGTTTTATAATTCTTTGCTCATTTCTTCTCAGAGTGAGCCCAGTATCTTTTCACCTTCCTTGTCTTATTGCAGTCGACATACGTTTTTGTCCAGACATTTCTTTGATCTCCTACCGCTTTTTGAATTCGTCCCATTTTATGTTCATGATTTTTAACATTTTTTTTTTTTTTTTTTTAAATACATTCACACTTTGTTGCATATCAGAGAAGGGATTGGTTGGAAAAAATTATGAGTTTACCACAATGTGCTGGATTCTTGGGTGGCCGGGGTAGAATGCTATCAGTGTTCGCAGTTCGTGGCCTTTGTGGACTACAAATTTATGCGTCATTTTCCAGGTCTGTACCTCGTACTTACTTAACACTGGGTCGACATGGGAGCTAAGATTATTTTTGAAAAAGTCTGGCCATGTCAGGACCCGAACCCACCACCTTCCGATCCGCAGGCGATGGTCTAGCCGCTAGACCACAGCGGCTCCCCTAAACGACAAGGATATCTAGACAATCTCAAATACAGACACTGACAAAAGTCAACATGCAAGCAAGAGCTGGAAAACCTCCATCAGATGACAGCAACACAGATTTGTCGTCTGCTTCACCTTTAGAGTGACGGCTGGGAGTTTATGTTGATAGGCTGCGACATCTGCGCCATTCCGTTCAATGTATTTGATTTATTTAGAACAAGTTTTCATGTAGGAGTCTCAGACAATTCAAAAACAAGCCAGAGAGTTTCTTGAGGCCTCAGAGATCAGGTTTATAGAAGAATCCGTACACAATCACACACAAGCACTCACACACACTTGCACGCATTTGAGTAACAGATATGTTTTCAACGTGATGAATGAGATCTCGCAAACATCTTATCACACACCCCAAAAAGAGAGAACAATCATTATCCATAAAAAATTGGTTCTAGTTAATAGTCTAGATTGCGATTTTTTGTTTTCGAAATTTCGAGAAACGGCGTTGCATGCAGGATTATCCCAGGATCCATCTGTTGTAGTTTACTATCCATATTGAGTTCAAATTTAACAAATATGTGAAAAGGAAAACTTTGGAAGAACACTTTTACACTCACACACACACATACACCCACACCCCACACACACACCCCGCACCCCCCACCACACACACACTCACATACACACCCACACCCCACACACACACTCTCACACACACAGCGAACAACAGAATTTAGTCAATAAAAGTGTAAAACAATTGATCATATTAGATAACAGATAAGGAGGT